GTGAGGGTGCAGCCACCCCCGGTGTGTGACCCCCCGCCAGAGGGACCTGCAGGACTCGGGGGCGCGGCGGGAGAGACAGAGGGGCCGGGAGAGCGGCCGGTCGGTGAAGGTGAACAGTCTCTGGACAGAGACCCTGCCTGTATCTTTCTCGACAAGCATTCTTTGTTTCAAGAGTTAAGTTTTCCAGACTCGCCCAACATCACCTTAAAAAAGCTACTACAGCCCTGACCGGTTTGGTTCAGTGGATAGAGCGTCGGCCTGCGGACAGAAAGGCCCCAGGTTCAATTCCGGTCAAGGGCATGTGCCTTGGCTGTGGGCACATCCCCAGTGGGAGGTGTGCAGGATGCAGCTGATCGATGTTTCTAACTCTCTATCCCTCTCTCTTCCTCTCTGTAAAAAAATCAATAATGTATATATATATATTTTAAAAGTTACTATAAAGTTATCCTCGCCTCGTTTGACCTTATTACAAAGGCTGTCTCCAACGCCCCCTGCCCGCGCGGTACCCGCGGGTTTGCGTCTCTTCCCACCGCTGACGGCCATAGAAACGTGAAGCCAGAACTCTTGCTGGAGCCTTTCTATAGTCCTCAGCCCACAGCCTCGGGTGCCCATCTTTACATCCCTTACACGTTGGAATGGTGGTTTACGCCAGGTTAATAGCTCAACTACTTTGCAATTGAGATGTTAATAGGCCCATTCATAATTAGCTTTGGGAGCTTGAGTTATTTCTTAATTTCTCTTATTTTGAAAAACATGAGAGCCAGCCAGTGGATGTTGCTGCTCCCGGAGAAATCAAGAAGGGGAAACCAGGAGGGTGGAGCAGGGCGTGTGACTGTCCCCCAAGATTCCTCTAGTTCAAAACGGCTTCCAGTGGAGGGGAGGGTGGTGCGGAGCAGGAATCACTCCAGTGCTCTAAGGGATGCTTCCTTTGCAGGAGGAAAAAGTACCTTCAGCCAGAGATAGAAGGTGGACTGAAAGGTGCTTTTATCTCCAAAATATATCTTTATTGATTTCAGAGAGGAAGAGAGAGATAGAAACATCAATGATGAGAGCGAATCATTGATTAGCTGCCTCAAACACCCCCCACTGGGGATGGAGCCCACAACCCAGGCTTGTGCCCTAGACCGGAATGGAACCCGGGACCCTTTGGTCTGCAGGCTGATGCTCTATCCACTGAGCCAAACCAGCTAGAGAAAGGGTGCTTTTAACACTTTATATGCAGGAATCCCTCTCCTCATGTCCTTGAACCCTGGTTTTCAGCTGCAGGGATCCTGATAGTTTGTATTCAGTCCAGCACTTCTTTTCTAGGCCTCTGGATGTGGTACTGCATTCACAGCAACCCTTTCTGCTCCCTGATAATCTTGGAACCTCTGGTGCATTCAATAACATTATTAAATTAGAAAAATAATATTTCCCACTTGAAATCCAAGCCATCATACAAACAGAACTAGAGTTGCATGCGGAATGAATATTTTATTACTAGATTATAAAAATAAAATACAAAATAATTTTAAAACAGAACTTAAAACACTGTACAAAGCTTTAATATGATACAAATGGGAAAATTAAATAAATAATTACACTTTTATGTACAGATGACCCATACAAAAGCACTCCACGTTTCTGTCAATACTCTATTGTCCTTGTTGCCTGAGCTAAAATGCATACAGAGGGCTGCTTGGAGGGGAAAGAGACACAATACCATTGGAAGCATTTCCAAAAGAATTTCTCATCACTGATTTCATGAAGAGGAGAAGAGAGAAAACTGGAATTATTAAAGTCCTCCATGCTAACGTATTGGTGTTGCTTGACAAGAGAGAATTCTTTTGGTTTGTGATTCAATCTGATTTAACAGCTGCCAATAGCTCATACTTTCAAGATTTGTATCTAATGAAAAACTAGATATTTCTCCCTCCCCCCTTTTTTTCCCTAAAAGCTGTCAATGTCTAAGTAAACGGCCTAATTAAATGGGCATTGGCTATTTTAGGAAAGGAGTCAGGAAGGGGATCAGGGGCTGTGTATGAGGGAGAGGGGAGGAGGCTCAAGCCTGGGTCATCAGATCTGTTCTCTTTATTTGCTTAACTCAATCCAATTTCAGAGCCCCAAGTGGCACACTGTTGTATTTCCTTTATCTTCCTATCTGTATTTCTGAATGCTTTTTATCCTAGTGAACTGATTTATCTACCTGAATGGTTTAAAAATAAAATATTTTGAAAAAGTCCCAAGGGCATTTCCCTGCCTGGGTTGCTCTCCTAAAATAAATCACATTCGAGCTCTGGTAGCCTTGTTTACCCTTGTGGGTGAGTGAAGAACAACCCAGGCAGATTCCAGGCATGTTGAAGTGCTGCACATGGAATTTTAAGGACTTAAACCAGTGGTCGCCAACCCGCGGTACGTGAGGTCCGAAAGGCTGGCGACCGCTGATTTATACTGTATATTATAAGGGGGAAAGCATCTATGACAAGGGTAGTTTATACAAAA